TACACACATTTTTTGGCGTATTTCTGTCTTTAGTTGGATAGACGCCACATGGCATTTATGGCTGTCAGTTGCAGCCTATTCAATCCTCAGAATGTTGGTGATTTGTGTCCCGCTGTTTTGTTGCTAGCGTCTTAAAAATAGCATATCTCTCCTTTCTCCTGGCTATTCTACCATGAATGAGGGTAACAGTACAGTCTTGCGAAACATTGGTTGCAATGACAGATTCGATACTCTAAGCTGCCGTTTATAATCACGAGTGACGTGGCTGAGCAAAAGCAACGACAAACAATAAAAAACAAAGAAAACCAAAGCGCACCCTTGAAAACTAATGCACGAAAATCTAGACCTTGCTGCGGACTCGTGCAAGCAATGTTACTAAAAGATGTCAAAAATGACCAGTCACCAGTTATCTCAAATTTTAACACACGCTACCCTGTTCTGCACTATGCGCTGCAGGAAACAGGCGTCAAGGCCGGAGTGTTCGATGACCCGCACCGAGTGTTAGTCCAGAACATTTCTTACCACGATGATCAATCACCACGGACATTGCCCGGCTATAAGAACATTCCAGGAATGCACATGCTCACCTCCTGGCACCGAGAAAAGCATACGGTACAGCGAATGGCTACCCGAAACAGAGATGGCTACGCCGAAAGGGGTTTGATGACTTGCACCAAGTATCGGCATGCAGATGAATTTGCAAGCGGGTATGGGTGTCCATAACAACGAATATAGAGCTTCTTCTGAACGTCCATAAACAAAGGTTTACCCACAGCCCATGAAGACATTCGGATGTTCAGACCCGGAAGAAGTGGCTGATATGTTAAAACCACACAGTCTGAGCAGCTCATTTTATTGAAATAAAACAGGGCAAAGAGCGTCATAACACAACAGAAATGAGTTTCAACAGGAGGTCGTTCTCAGTATTTGACTAGTACACCGCAGCCTTGTATGCCGGGGAGGGAGAGCTGTAAGCAGACTTGTGAACAGGCTTGTAGGCCGGGGCAGCAGCCTTGTAAGCAGGGGCGGGATGGTACTCGGGGTACTGGGCCTCGCCCTCGTAGGTGACCTCAGCGTTGTAGCCTCCGTAGTTGGCGACGTACTTGACGTGCTGGACACGGCTGTCGGGCAGAGCCACCGAGTAATATCCCTGGGTGTTGTGGCCATCGCTCTCCTCATTCTTGGCGAAGTTGGTGCCGGTGTAGTGGTCATTGACGGCATAGTCATAAGCGAACGGCTGGGCCACCTCCTTGTACTGGGGCTCCGGGTGGTAAGAGGCCGACTTGTAGGATGGGGCGGGGTGGTAGGGGGCCGGAGCGGTCTTGTAGCCCGGCGTTGCCGGTGCCGGGGCGGCGGCAGCAACAGCCAGCATGGCGGCAATGACGAAACCCTGGAATGCCACAATGGATGTGCTATTATAAAAACAATAAGCCATGCATTCTGGTATCTTTACTATTTTGCGATGCATCTCGTTAGCATGCTTCTAATGCAAGACTGTTTATCAACGCTCCCACCACGATACACTTCTCGGAAAAATCTCTAACATATGACATCTAAGCACACCAGCATTATTCGTGAATGAGATACCTGCATGCTGTGTCTTGGTGGGCGAGTGCGCAGTGGAACTGGTGCATGCATCCACAGTGCCTCGGCTTTTATAGATCGGCCGCGGACCGCTGATGGAAGGTCACAAACATTGCCTCACTTATCGTGCGACTCCCGCTACCACCGGCTGGTCTGGCGACATGATAGGTTAACACGGAACCGCGTCCACTACCGGATACTCGTACAACTGCTAGAGAGCAATTCAGGCGCCCATTATGTTTCGTGTCCACTTACACATAAAGCCAGATGTTAGCATGTCACGAGAAACGTATCGGTAAATGTCCATATAGATGGTAAACAACGTATTCTTTGAAAAAGCGTGGTCGTATCTTTTGATAACTCTAACGTTCTATCTATACGTATTCACAAACAGACAGACACACACACACAAACACACACACACACACACACACGCACACACACACACACACACACACACACACACACACACACACACACACACACACACACACACACACACACACGCACGCACGCACGCACGCACGCACGCACGCACGCACGCACACACACACACGCACGCACGCACGCACGCACGCACGCACGCGCAGACAACCACGGGCTTACATATATATATATATATATATATATATATATATATATAGCTAGTGACCTGCCCACCTGCCAACAGCGAGCAATAAAGCAATACAGCAGGCCGGCTTTGACCTGGGTCTGACCGTCAGATCTGACCCTAGATCAGTGCTTTGTCCATTCCATCATTGGGTTACCTGAAAAACTATCTCAGAGATGCATGACTTTCGTCTAACACTTCGCTGTTCCATCAGATTGAACGGTTCCCTTGATATTGTCTTCACTGAATCCATGGCCTGACTTTGACCCGCCGTACGTCAGCGACCTCACAAGGTACATTTAAACTTGTGATGCAAAACAACCCACCATTCAGTTTTCTAGAGCTATGAAGATGAAAGCGAGCCGACCTCAGCGCGTGTTGACACGCGCTCAAGTAGAGGGGCCAACTTGGCCCCCCGAAAGTTTTTTCAGCATGGTCTCCGAACGGCGCGGCGTAGCCACGCCAAATTTGGATAGCTGTGGCCAATTGAATAACGGATCGTTTGACATAAAAATTTAGGTGTACCTTGCAGGGTCACTGACCTATGGCAGGTCAAAGGCAGGCCATGGTTTCGGCGAACGCAATTTCCAGGGAATCGTTCAATCTGATGCAACAACGGAGTGTTTGACGAAACATACAACTCTGAGATGGTTTCTTAGGCGCCACAAATATTGAATGAGCAAATGGCGTTGACCTATGGTCAGGTATGAGCTTAAGACCAAGGTCAAAACCAACCTGATTTATTACTCTAGGACTTGCTATATGGGATAGGTTCTGATGAAATTGAATTCTGATTTCTGTGCTCATTCCGAATTCATTGACAGCAGGAACCGCATTGTACATACTCCATTGACTTCTTAGAGGTCAAAATAGGTCACTGACCTAAGATGACCCGGATCGACATTTTGTTTTAGGAGCATACTACCTAGCGTTATCTTAGTCGCTTATTCAAATGCAAAGCTCAGAGCAGTCTTGTGTAGTTTTTGTCACCATGACCTTCAAAAGGTCAGACAAGGTCAATGAACTCAAATGGACCTGAGACCTTCTGCTTAGAAACAGTTGCTTAGGTCCTGGGGGCGCTTTGGAGACCAACCTGGAACCAAGGAAGCCCAAACTTTGACCTTAGTGAGTTTACATACAGGTCAAGACACCTTGTGAATCTAGTGTCTCTAGCTTTCTTAGTTCCCGAGATCTCGAGGGGAGAGTTAAATTGACCCCCACCCCCACCCGGGCGAAGGGTGTCTAGCCGGCCACCCGGACGCGTGTTAAGGTTGCCACGTATTTCATCAAACTTGTTAAATTATACAAAATCGACTCACTGGTCATATACGTCTACCACTAAGTTTATTCGGCATGAGTACAAAGCACCCCGTTGTTTCTGTCGCCCTTTTGCGAATAAGACTTGGGTATGAGTATTCCCTTTTCGTGCCATCTTCCCCCGACGCACCTAGAGTAAGTTAAGCGAAGATGAAGCGAAAATCTTCGGACGCCCTAACCACGTTTATACGACCATCTTTCCGGTGTAAATATATGTAAACAAAAAAGGGCGCCTGCATTCATTCTTGTTTTGTTCCCATCTTTTGCACTAAAGGCGTTTCCATTAACGCCCTTTAAAAGCGCTTCTAAACCAACTTCCATGGCCCACTGCACAAACTCTAAGAAGTAGGTCATGATATAAGTTGGTGATACCAATTCTCAGGAATAAGGTTTGCGACGTCACATGTTAAAGCATGCCATAGCCTGGACTAATCTAGGAAACGGTCGGAATTTGCTTGCAACTTTTTCGTGACACTGTGCCTATTGCGTTAAAACTTTTTGGTTATCCTTCATTATGCTCTGCCTTTGATGAGGAACCAGGCTAACCTACTTGCCAAAAACTTGGACAGCATGGAACGCATGAGCTTTGAGGCTTTGAGGGTTTGGCTCTGGCTTTGAGTTAAAGTTATTGGGTGGAATCCAGATTCGGCGCACGTCATATCCGTATCTTGCGAATTAGCGCCTAGTTATGTGTGTGGCAACATAACTCGAAATTTAAGTGACATACGCCGATATGCGTGGCATCGATACGTTTCAGTAAGACACGATTCGTGTTTGTAAAAGTGAGCTGATAGCTTAATTAGCTTAAACAACATTTCGAAACAATGAATACGCATGCATGCATCTGCATGGCCGTCCAGATTCCGTTTCCGCGCGTGCCTTTCTAAGGAGTGACGTTGGGAGGGCGGGGGGGGGGGGCATTCTAATGGCACAAGCGATCTCAAGCATTCAGGCTCATGCGTCTAAAAATACCTATGCTCGCATATTCCGGTTTCTCCTCGGGCTTAACCCACTTCATAATTACTTTCGGATAAAAAAGACTAAAAAGGTATGGAATTGGATGCCATGATGGCCAAGTTTGCTGTCAGCTGGAGATGGAAAGAATGTATACATTACTTCAATAAATGATTCCAAATCGTTGGCATAATCGTCTTGGGTCCAGAGTATGGTCAAAAAGACATCTATACGAGCCTTTGGCATTACAAACTATATATTCTAGACCATTTATCTTCCGAGTCACCTGCAGATACTGAATGGTGTGCCCATATGCAACCTCATGGGTCACATTCCGGTCAAATCCTAAGAGGTGGGCGTATACCGGGAATTCCGTGCAAATTCGTCAGCGCAGCCGGTGACACCGTTGGAGGCGTCCGTTCACTGGGAACCTGACCGTGACCGGCTATCAGTGGTTAGCGGCCGAGCTATAAAAGCGAGAGCACCAAGGGAGCAGGCACCACTTGCACTGCACACCCGGCCATCAGAACACACCATGCAGGTATGCAATGGAATAATGTCATGGATATGGTGTCCTGTTGGCTACTGGAGAGTTTACTTCGAGCCATGTACACTCTGGGGTTAGCGATGTGGTATGCATTGCCCAGATAGCGAGGTTATAATATATATCGTACAAAACAGCTCTGCTGAATTGGCTGCCTCATCCGTCAAACATCCTCTCACTGTATTGCAGGGCCTCGTCATTGCCGCCGTGCTGGCTGTCGCCGCCGCCGCCCCGGCACCGGAGACACTTGGCTACCAGCCCGCTCCGGCCCCCTACCACCCGGCACCCTCGTACAAGCCGGCCTCTTACCACTCGGAGGCCCAGTACAAGGAGGCGGCCAAGCCGTTCGCTTACGACTACGCCGTCAACGACCACTACACTGGTACCAACTTTGCCAAGAAGGAGGAGAGCGACGGCCACAACACCCAGGGATATTACTCGGTTGCTCTGCCCGACGGCCGTGTCCAGCACGTGAAGTACGTCGCCGATAACTACGGTGGCTACAACGCTGAGGTCACCTACGAGGGAGAAGCCCAATACCCCGAGTACCATCCCGCTCCTGCCTACAAGGCTGCTGCTCCTGCCTACAAGGCTGCTGCTCCTGCCTACAAGGCTGCCGCCCCTGCCTACAGGGCTGCCGCTCCGGCCTACAGGGCTGCCGCTCCGGCCTACAGGGCTGCCGCTCCGGCCTACAGGGCTGCCGCCCCTGCCTACAGGGCTGCTGCTCCGGCCTACAGGGCTGCCGCTCCGGCCTACAGGGCTGCCGCTCCGGCCTACAGGGCTGCCGCTCCGGCCTACAGGGCTGCCGCTCCGGCCTACAGGGCTGCCGCTCCGGCCTACAAGGCTGCTGCCCCGGTCTACAAGCCCGTTTACAAGCCTGCTTACAGCTCTCCCACCCCGGCATACAAGGCTGCAGCATACTAGTCAACCACTGAGAATGACTTCCTTTTTAAGTACATGAATGTTGTGTTGTGATGATTTTCGACCAGTCGTATTTCAATACAAGGAACTGCGATCTGGACTAACAAACTATGAACTATGGACCACGTGGTGTTGACTGAAGCGATCATGCGTTTTCCAGTGGGATAACTTCATTGATGCGACTGTGTTAAGGAATTGGCCTTTGCATGGCATATTGATGCGGTCCCAGTGGGTGTTCTAAGTTGGGATGTGGATGCGTGGGAGAGAGGGACATTTTAGTCAGACCACCGGAAGAGGAACCATGCTAAATATTCAGAAACTTGGAAGAGGGGCTTTGTTCCCCGCTCCTGGTTTCCGGTTACCTGGATCGCTTGGAGCGATGAGTCATCTTTTCATCAGTCATAAAAAACCGTCATGATGGTTACGCTGACAAGCGATTCGTACCCACTCTTAACTTCTTTCTTACCCAAGCAAGTTGTGTTTGATAAAGGTTCTGCCCAAATTCCCTGGAAAACGGGTATCAAGTGCTTGATTTTCTCCATTTTGCTACCACACAATAACCTGATTGGAATGAAGAACAAGTCGTTTGCTCGTTTCTGTAATAACTCCACGGCCATGCCAGGCAGAAAGGTGTGAGACTGACACAACGTCCCCAGGACTCAGCTTCACCGCAATTGTCTGGGTTGTCTGGACCACCACTGCGTACGTCACACACGTCACGGGGACGCACAGCCAATGAGTTCCACAAAAGTCATGGTGCCAGGCCGACCCCAGTTTGAGTTGACAGAAATCGCGTGCGGAAAATACACCGGACTAAAATGGAGTGGAAAACGACTTTTGGAACACGAATCGTCACCAATTAGGCATCAGACCGCGGAAAGAAACCCACACCCGACACCTACCACACGACCAGGCATAGTTGCAACCGAGAGTGATGACGTCACTGGTGGCGCTGGTATGATGTGCAGATGTGTTGAGGAAACGCTGCTGTACGACTCCAGCATCGAGCAGGCCTTCTCAAGGATTGCGGTCTCATGGTTTCAAATATACGGAGTAGAGACGCAAGATTTTCCGGTATATCAGCCCGCAGCCCAGCCCGCCCGGCCCAGCTAGTGATCCAGCCCCAAAAAGCCCACTATACTACATTGCTCATCCATCTAAATGCATTTCAATATTTGATAGCCATCGATCTGCCATTCAGTCTAATGTAGCTATGCAAAATTTGGCACCCATTTGCCGCGCCGCTCGAATACCATTCTGGAAAACATTTGGGGGTCAAAGTGACTCCGACCCAAGCGCGTGTTGAGCTATTGCACATGCATGCTATCATTTCGGACTTATCTTAGACCTATACATCCACACGCGCTCGGGTGGAGGTCAAGTTGACCCACAACCCGAAGTTTTTTCTGGAGTGGAGAGTAAGCTAGAAAAACCTTATGATGTCATGGATGCCCGGGCCACCCTGACAGTCTCACCTAAAATACTGAGCACATCGTCGCGGGCGTGTAGGTCAGAAACTAGAGTGGATAAGGGGGTAAGGGGGGCCAGGATGCGAGCTGTACTGCATTATCTTCAAGATGGCTTTTTTAGTTCAAAATCGCATACAAACGCGAAGAACTCCCCTTAATCTTTCCTCGTTCTTAAGACATGTCAGGATGTATCATTAAGCTTACTAACCACGGTGCATGAAGGGGGAATGAGAAAAGTGACTGACTACCCAGATATAGTGTATAATTGTCATATAGTGGTGTGCGTATATACCGTATAGTGGTGGTCGACCACGTCAGCAAATGTTGCAAATTTCAGAGAAATTCGAAACGTTGACACTCGACCTCTATGAACATTGACTGCCAACAACGTTCCCAAATGTTGGGGGTTGGAATGTCTCTGCGTCAATCTGTTCTGAAAACGATCGTCACTTCAAAACGTATTTCATCCTAACATTATTATCATAATCATGAAATTGTTGTCATCAGCTTTTGGGAACATGAACGTAGGTTGACACAGCTGTGTCACCGGAACGCGCACAATGGAAACGTCATGACAATTTAGGTTAAAACTACCGTGTTTGACCAGTTTATTTTATTTTGATAGAACAGATCAGGTCACAAAAAGTACCCTAACACGGAACTCAACCGCTTAAAATAGTAGTTTGTTCTCAGCGTCTGACCAGTTTGCCGCAAGCTTGAATCTCAGAGATGGATAACCTGCAATCAGGCTTGCATTTAGGCTTGTTAACTAGGACGTGGTTATGTTTTTGAAAGCAAAATTTTGCTCTAAGTAACAAGAATTGTTATCATATTTATGATCTGCTTAAAGGTATAGGCATGACGTGGGTTCTATGAACTAAATAATCATAAACCGGTGTTTATCTGATAAAAATAGCTGAAGTCCATTAATGAAGAATGATGTGTGACTTGCTCTGCCTCCCTCTCTTACCGCCAAAGGAACAGATGCAGTAACGCGGACACAATCAAATGCAGGAGATAAAAAACTCTCCACGCTCGCCACTATTGGCTCGCTGGTCATGTGCACATTCCTCTAACGGGTTGCTCACTCTCTGCACAAATAGTTCTGATTTCTGTTTGCTACCTTAGCATTATATTCAGACTCCAGCGGCCCAGCGCATTGAAGTCTTGGCACCAGTGACGTCACGATAGTTTTTATGAGCCAATGCAAGGCTGCTGTTTTCCTTCCCCAACCGACCTTGAATAAGCTAGGCGAAGATGAAGCGGGAATCACTGGGCGGTTTTACCACGTTTATACGACAATCTCTCCGGTGTAAATATATCAAAATGTGCCTACATCCATTCCTGCCTTGTTCCAATCTTTTCCAGTAAAGGCGTTTCCAGTAATGCCCTTTTAAAGCGCTTCCTAACCACATTCGTGGCCTAATTCACGAACTATCAGAAGTAGGCAAATTTTAAGCAAAATGGTTTGTGACGTCACATTTCGAGACATGCCATAGCCTGTACTAATCTAGGAACGGTCGGAATTGCCTTGCAACTTTCTCGTGATGATATGCCTATCACGTTATAAAGCATTTTAGCTATACTTCATTATGATTTGCCCATGATTAGGAACATGGCTAACCTACCTGCAAAAGCTTGGACAGCATGGAAACCCTGAGCTTTGAGGCTTTTGGGCTTTTTTCCGTCTTTGCCTTTGTAATGAATGTTGTGCGGAGGAGGGAGAGCATCCTAATGACATGAGCGCTCTTAAACATTCAGCCTCATACCTCCACACGACACCTATTCTCCCATATTATGGTTTCTCCTCGGACTTAGCCCACTATATAATTGCTTTCGGACGAAATACGGCCGAACAGGTAGCGAATTGGATGCGATATAATGGGCCAAAAGCTTTGGAGGAGGCGAGAACTGCTGTCAGCTGGGGATGGGAGAGAAGTTGAAAGATCTCAAATGAATGATTCAAAATCAAATGAATGCATCAAAATGTTCGCCTTGGGTTCAGCGCAAGTCCAAAAAAAGATCAACACGAACCTGCTGAGTCATAAGCTATATGTTCCAGGCCATTTATCTTCCGACTTACCTGCAGAAATTGAATGGCGTGTACATGTGCAACTGCATGGGTCACATCATGGTCTACTTCTAGGAGATGGGCGTGTACCAGGAATTCCTTGCCAATTCGTCGGCGCAACCGGTGACACCGTTGGAACCTGTCCGTTCACTGAAATCTGACCGTGACCGTCTATCAGTGGTTACCGGCCGACCTATAAAAGCGAAAGCACCAAGGGAGCCGACACCACTTGCACTGTACACCCGGCCTTCAGAACACAACATGCAGGTATGTACTAGGATGATGCCATTTATATGGTGCTCTGCTGGTTACTAGAGAGTTTACTTCAAGCCAAGAACATTCTGGGCTTAGCGATGTGATATGCATTGCACAGATAGAGAGGTTTTAGTATATATCGTGCAAAACAGCTCTGCTGAATTGGCTGGTTCATCCGTCAATTACCCTCTCACTGCATTACAGGGCCTCGTCATTGCCGCCGTGCTGGCTGTTGCCGCTGCCGCCCCGGCACCGGAGACGCTGGGCTACAAGCCCTCTCTGGCCCCCTTCCTCCCGGCCCCCTCCTACAAGCCGGCCTCTTACCACCCGGAGCCCCAGTACAAGGAGGAGGCCAAGCCGTTCGCCTACGACTACGCCGTCAACGATCACTACACCGGCACCAACTTCGCCAAGAAGGAGGAGAGCGATGGCCACAACACCCAGGGATATTACTCGGTGGCTCTGCCCGACGGCCGTGTCCAGCACGTCAAGTACGTCGTCGACAACTACGACGGCTACAACGCTGAGGTCACCTACGAGGGAGAGGCCAAGTACCCCGAGTACCACCCCGCCCCTGCCTACAAGGCTGCTGCCCCTGCCTACAAGCCTGTCCACAAGCCTGCTTACAGCAATGCCGCCCCGGCATATAAGTCCGCTGTATACTAGCCGCATGGTGACAACGGCCGCCTATTTAAATCTATTCATATTTGTGCCGCCATGTTTTTCGTTTTTGCCCTCTGTAACTGCAATAAAAAGATTTGGTCGAGTCTTGCTGTTTTGACCCAAGTTATTCTAAGTTTTCCACCGTTCAAATGTCTCTGAGCCGGTTGTCAGAAAAGACGTCTATATAGACCGAAGGCAACCTCCACAGTCGCTGTTCCTATAATGACTATTTAGCAGGTATTGTGAGTGCTTGCAACGTTTCACCTTTACATGCTGCCGAAATTTTCAGTGAGATAGTAAAGGAATTCAAAGCAGTTATTTTCCGGAAGCAGAGTTTCCGCTTTCAATTCAGATGGTGTCATGTGAAGGCATTACGCTGGAGGTGCCTAAAATGTGGTTATCAGCGCATTGTCTTATTAAACACCCCTGGCCCGCTGATTTCTGAGAGCTGAGAACATCTTCTCCCTTCTTATTGGAGCGACCCCGAACCGTGCTAAGTAAGTGCACTATGTCAAGAGTGTCGCCAGGTGGTGAAGCTACCGCGTTATGTGAATAATGTGCCCTCGGTGTTAAATTTTGTCACAGCGTTATGAAGTGCGCAGAGAAGAATCGTAGGGCATATTCGTTTCCACTAGCCACAATTCCCAATTTGTTCCGCGTCTTGAAGTATTTAACCCTAAGACATGTGCGGTACGTATACGCTGCTGAAAGGTATAGAGGACAAAATGCATTGACGTATCATTTTGTTTTGTGTGTGTTAGGTGGGGGGGGGGAGGTCAGTCTGATGCATGCATGCCGCGGGTTGTTTGACATTCGGGTAACGATGTTAGATAACTAGGCTTCTTTGCTTTGATATTCGGCTGAGATGCTGGCGACACTTTGGTGATGGCCCAAATTTGTTGCTAAAATTAGAAACTTTTAGCCTTGGCTGAGGCTGAATCAAGCAGACCTTGGTTCCCAAGTTGTCAGCATGTCGCCAGTCGACGATTATTTTCGGGTAAATCGAAGTAAAATGGAAATGCAACATAACTGAGTGATATGCATGCTAACATGAAATTTTACAGCAAAGTTCCATTACTGTCTAGGTCTTCATATCATTCTTGAGTCTACTATGTGTTCTCATGCGTCATAATCTGGGCAAAATAAGTCTTCTCGTAAACTAAAGCTCTCAAGTACTCTTGAAATATTTTTATGCAAGACCTGAGGTTTGGTTCCGCAGCGCGTAAGGTTCCTTAATGAAATCGCTGTCACTGTAAAAAGTGAAACAAGACGGGAATAAACGCAAATATCGTAAAGCACATTTACAATGGGTTGATGGTAGTGTGCTTTCTGATATGTGGCCAATGTCTTTTTTCAGGAATATAGCACGTCATCAAAGACATCACGACGGATGTCATCAAAACATTGCTGTCAGCCAGCAATGTGATCTTGAAATAGAAGTGGTATGTGGTATTGCGAGAAGCTTATTCATATGCGTCATCCCCGCGCAGCACATCAGGCCACTCCACTCAGGCAGGACGTTAAAAACGCTTCAGAAGCTTTAGTTTCTGAGGTCCGGACAAAGGAAGGATACGGAATGCAAGCTAGCGATGAGACGAAGTACAGACATACTCCACACAGCACAAACTGCATAGTGGATTTTGGACGCATTAGCTATCTTAGCTATTTGCAAACGGCACAAGCATATATATAAAGCACAAATCAGAGTCAGGGAGACCAACTTGTTCTTGTTCAACGGTATGAAAACTGGCCTGCATATTTCACATGTCTTGCCCAAACACAATGTCATGTGCAAAGTACGACATAATAATGGATGTGTGAATTGTTCTCCAGCAGTTGCACGTGTGTCCGGGACTGACCGTGGTTCCGTGCTAATGAATGGTGCCACGATTCCAGCCGGTGGTAGCGGGAGCCGCACGATCAGTGAGGCGATGTTCGTAACCTTCTATCAGCGGCTCGCGACCGATCTATGAAAGCCGAAGCACTGTGGAGGCATGTACCAGTTCCACTGCACACTCGGCCACCAAAAAACAGCATGCAAGTACATGCTTGAAGACAGTAGTTGGTGTGGCGCCTTGTCACCTGTGAGAGACCATTCGGGGAAATTCATTGCGGTCGGTGCAATGGTGAAATGTCGCACCAGAAACGTAGGTATGAGATGAATGATGCAAAAAACAAATACACTGCAGTGGCTGACTTATTGATAGCACATCTCACTTATTGACTATATTGACTTATTGAGGCGTCGGCGTACAAACTCACTTCGGCCCACTATCACCCGGCCCCGTCCTGCAAGCCCGCTTCTTACCATCCGGAGTCCCAGTACAAGGAGGAGGCCAAGCCGTTCGCCTACGACTACGCTGTCAACGACCACTTCACCAGCACCAACTTCGCCAAGGAGGAGGAGAGTGATGGCTACGACACCCAGGGATATATTTTACTCAGTGGCCCTGCTCGACGGCTGTGTCCAGCACGTCAAGTACGTCGCCGACAACTATGGTGGCTACAACGCTGAGGTCACCTACCAGGGAGAAGCCCAGTATCCCGAGTACCACCCCGCCCCCGCCTACAAGCCTGCAAACAATCCTACCTATAGCCATCCCGCTCCGGCGTACACGCCTGCACCGTATTAGTTAAATACTGAGTTTGCCTTGCTATTTAAACGCATGAATGTTGGGTTATGATGCTCTTTGACTTGTCTTATTCCAATGAAATGGACTGCTGAGACCGTGTAGTTTTAACATAGCAGCCACCTTTTCCAATGCTGAACATCATAATGTTATCATGGGGTCTGGGTTAACCTTTATTTATGAATGTTTAGAAGTAGCCTTATACTCGTTATGGACACCCATGCCCTCTTGCATATTCATTTGCATACCGATACTCGGTGCGAGTCATTGAAACCCTTTCGGCATAGTCATCTGTGTTTCGGGCATCCCTTCGCTGCACCGTATATTTTTGGGTGCAATGACGTGAGCATGTGCGTTGCTGGAATGTTCTTCTAGTTCGGCAATATCCGTGGTGATTAATCATCGTGGTAAGTAATGTTCTCTGCTAGCACTCGGTGTGGGTCATCAAACCCTCCGGCCTTGACGCCTGTTTCCTGCAGCCCTTAGTGTAAAACAGTGCACGGGTGTTAGGATGTGAGATCACGGATGACTGGCCATTTTTGACATGCTTTAGTGACATTGATTGCACGGATTCGGACCAATGCCTGAGTTATCGTGCATTAGTTGCGAAAAATATGTGTACATGCAAATGAATTGAAGTAAACAGACATCGAACATCACCCATCATTCATTCATGCGTGCATTCATTGCGGCGGCCATTTTCAGGCTATCACACTCAGGCTGAAATCCAAGGGGGTATGAACACTATACCCTTTTTTCAAAGTCCTCTAGAAAGCCAGGGTCATCCAGACGGCAAGATAGGAAGGCCCATTCTTACAAAAAATCGGTGACGAGACCCTAAAGTACGGGCCTTATTGACCAATTACGCAAATGTAATAAGTGTCTTCATGCGTGATGCGTGCTAGCTTAAAATCGTTAATATGTATGAGCGATGTCTGATGCGTGATGGTTGAGGCCTAATCGCTTGAAATCGTTTGCATGTATGAGTGATGCGTGATGCGTGATTCTTGCTTCTTTGAATTCGTTTGCGAGTACAGGTATTTTCGGGCATTTTCATCGAAAGTTGGATATACACTGCATCGCGAAAATGGTTGGCAATGCTCCGTACCCCGAATGCTGGTGAATTGTAAAAAATACGACTCGCTGTTTTAAAAAAATCAAGCGGAATCGGCCTCCAATTTTCAATTCACTGCTTGTATTTATTACTATAAACGCATGAAGCTGGAATATCAATACATCTATATCTTTTCTTTTCTGGTTACTGTACGTATAATAAGGCTAATGGTACAGTCTTATCTAGGTGTAAAATGTTCCTCGCAAACGCACTTAAGAACTTACGCAATCGATCTCTACCAGAAAAAGACGTTTAGCCGGGACATTCTGACATAATAAAGGGAGCGTGCAATCTTTATCTCTGGTCTTAGCTGAAATAGCTATGTTAAAGATTATTCGGTGCAGTCCATGACCCTCAGCTTCTTTACACCTAAAGCCCTCTGGTTTCTGAGCTATACGCCCGCGAAGATACGCAGACGTATTCGTGCAGACTTTTAAGGTCATTCAGGCATGCATGACGTTATAAAAGGGTCATTGAAATCCTGCCGCTCCACAGGTCAGGCGGTGTTCAAGGCGAAGAATAATATCGTACAGCCGTTGAGACCTGACGTCCGTGAGCGCAGTTTCCAAATATAATATACGTCAATTCGCTCTCAAACAATTTTAAGCAAGCTGCCCAGGGTAGGACAGTAGTAATAGCCTTATTGCTCGGAGAAAAATCAGGAGAATGGAGATATAGATGGGTTTAAATTTCGATAATGGTATATTGCTCAAAAATCAAACCATCGATGTCTTCATTCTCCCGGTTCTTCTCCGGGGAATAGGGCTATTACTGCAGTCTTATCTATGTGAATAATGTTCCTCGAAAATGCACTGAACAACTTACAAGCTGCACAAGCTTCAACTGCAAAGCACGCTTTGTGCCTCTTAATTTAGGAGGTTGAACGCGGTTCTTTACCGGCTAGCTATAACAAAATTAGGACTTGCAAACGAATAACTTAATAGGACGAGCCCATGAGGACAATTGGGTCAGGAAAAAATATTGCCCGTGCTGCCATCTCTTGGCGAGCTTGAAGTACTGCAAGTAACTGCAAATTTCGATGGCTAGTTTGGCGGTACCACAATGTTATACAAACGTTCCATGACGCAATCAAACACTGCCGTATTAAGGAGCGTGTTTACTAAATGGAGAAATTGTGCTGCCTAGAGGATCTTTCCACTTAAAAGCAGATCAATAGTTATAAGTGAGATAATTTCATTTTATGCTCGGTTCGTCGCGGACGCGTCAGTTCCTTGTTCCGCTGCAGACCATGATGACGGTACTCCGAGATCACGGCGGCTATAACACCCTCTCCCGGCGCCGACCTCCCTGCAGGCGGCAATGAGTAATCACGCAGCTTTTGCCGTGCAGCTGTGAGCTCCCATTGTCTGCTGGTGTGAACAGAATCATAGCGGCGTCAAAACGGCCGAGTGCAGCGATCCGCTCCAGCGTGACCGACCGAAAGGTCACATGTCGGTTCTCCCTTCCGCGAGACAGGGGACGGGCAGCGCGTGCGCGCCGCACGCGTGGCCGCCGACGCCGTCGCGGCGTGGTCCGTGCCCGCCGCCGGCCACCGATGGGGCTCGGAGCGGTCCGGTCCGCGCGCGCCCAAGTGGGAGACGCCGTCGAGAGACGATTCGACGAGCGCTTTGCCGTCCGCCGTTCAGATAGGGTGAGTGCCGACGCCTGGTGTTACAGCCAGGTTTGACTCATCCCCACGCTGTGCTGCCTTACAGACATGGCCCACGCCAGGACATGAATGGTGCAATACAACAGACGCAACTGTGCTGCCAACTCGGACAGAGTGACATAAAAAACCGACTCAAGAGAGCGGCTCCAACAGACGTGTCAGGCCCCGAGCCAGCGGACGCACCACGAAACAAAAAGCGAAGTTGAAAAGAAACGTACCTTATGTCTCGGAGCGTTGCATGCGTCGGTGATCAAGCAAGTGCACTGCACCAGAACTATTTCAATACCAGGGCCTGTATTCAACAATTCCAGATATAGTGCGGACCAAATTCCCGACGCAGTGCCGACTTCAGGTTCAAAACAGCATTTCTGTCCTCTTCTGAAAGCGCATCCATCACCGCAATCCGCGTGCCGAGGCTAAGAAGCACCTTCCCCACAGATGTCGTCTCATCCCCCATCCCCATCCGATATGCATCCAACCGTCAAAAGAAGTCTTCCACCTCTTCTCCACCAACCCACGCGAATCTCACCCTGTACTCAACTTCGCATGCTCCCACTCGCTGTCACGCGCCGTGACAAACACGCGCTCTCGCCGGCGTCAGAAAACGGCCGTCCCGGTGGCCGTTGACCGTGGCGGCCGGCCGGCCCACGCCTCCGGCGGGTGGCCGCAGAGGCGGGCCCAGGTAAGCCCATTAGTAATTCGGTGTATTGGTAAACGAACTAGTAACGCACCATGATCGCAATGTCGTGAGGGATCTTGCTTGTTAACTTCCCACTGCCTGTGAGTTGGTTTCATCGTATCTGATGCCTGTTTCAATATTTTCAAGTGTGGAGCATTGCGTTTCAATGGTCGATAATTCAGCATAACTTTACACTCATATGACCATGAAAAATTGTTTTTAATCTTGTCGTTATTTCAATTTCATTATTTCAAAAACACGTTGTTGCTTCGTGAGTTAGAAAAAAACATGCAAGAACGAGATATCCGTTATGATCGTTCACATCGCCTCAAGCGGATTGGTGAGCTTGAGAAAGCTGAAAAGTAGATGGAGCAATTGTGAATGGTCGTCACCAAGAAAGATCTTTAAGATAATATGATGCTTCGCCAAAGAAAATGGCTCTCCACGGCATTTCGCTATTGCTTAAACTTGTTGCACTTCATAGCAATGCTAGCCCCAAAGTGGATTATCGCACGGCTGCGAGCAGGGACGAGGGCGATGCAAATATGTGTGATTCTGGGTGAGTATATACTGTGTCCAGCTCGCAGAAAAGCCAACTCTTCCTCCAAACGGCTTTTATGATACATCGATGGCCAAGCACAAGGCGATACAAGTGTCATGTCGGAATTTATGCCATGAAGCTGCGTTCTGGTGTTGTTTGTCCATTGTTGTAGTCAAAAATGTGTTATCGTTGTCCGAGTTAAAGACGAATATATTTAGAATGAACGGAAATTTATGTGATGTGAAAGGACCAAAGCTTCTTGAGCCAATGGGCTTGCCTACTTAAATCCCATGATGCTTCTATAACCTGGAATCCACAGAAAATCGGTTACCAAAATTAATGACTAATGTCATGTCTTGTGAATATAACATATGATATGTAAGTAAATATGCATGTCCTGTGAGAGTAATATATGATGCAGATTGATGATGTGGACAAGGAAGTGGGGAGTAACGTCTGGGTAGTTAGGCGACTTTACATCTGCCTTGTAACCCGAACAGATCGTAATTGCGCTCAGAGGATGAATGTGTTGATGACGATGTTGAAACGCAAGGAGAAGAGCAAGCAGCTCTACGGAGTAAACAGAGGTGCCATTCAATAACCGTCAGTCTTTAAACCAACCTTCGCAATAAATTACTGAACATTCAGGGTGGTCACTACACCAAGAACCATCGGTGTACAAAATACAGTTATTTGAATGAATGACAGTTGTATTATTCAGCGTTTGTTAAATATAAGCTGTTGTGACGAGCAGTTTGAGATCTTTAGGAAGGTGTTTGAAAATAACTAATAGTGCTACAATAGACTGAGTTTGTTTGTTGTTTGTTTGCGAGTCTGCGGCACTTT